TTCGTCCCTTATATTTATTAATCCTTCGCCTATTTCTTCTAGAGGGACATATAACCGATCTTTAAATAATAAAAAAACATAAATATGAAAAATTTGTAAGTTTAATAAGAAGAAAGAAAAAAATTACTAGAAAATGAATTAAAAAATAAATAACAAAAGGAAATATTTATCTTCACATAAAGAAAAAGTAGAAATAAATTCTACTAAACTCTGCTTATTTAATTATTCTTAAATTACAATTTTGAATGAGAAAAATTAATTATAAAAAAAAATAAAGAAAAATATAAACATTATATTTTATTATAAACGTATGAGTCAATCAATTAAATTAGATAAATTCCTTTATGAAAAAAATTTAAGAGATAAAGTTATTTCATTCTTTAATTTATTTCAGAGTAATTGTTTTGAAGATATTACTGATATTTGTTTATTAAACCAAATAAAATTCATTCAATTTTGTCAAGAACTCAATTCTAGTTTAACGATTGGACTATTTAATTATAAAGAACTTATTGTGCCAAATTTTTTGTTTTTAATTAAGATATGTTTACGAATTAAAGATATTTGCAAGGTGTTAGATTATGAATACCTTTCATTTTGTTTGTTATTATAAATTATTAATAAATTTGGTTTATTCATTTAAATAGGGAATATTATGGTAAATTCATTAAATCCATATTTTAATATGGAATATAGAAAAGTTGCATTTGAATTGTTACTTGAATTTATTTATAAATCTCATAGAAAAAACAAATTAGTTGCAAATCTTCTTACAAATGCATTTAATTTAAAAGTATTTGAATTAAATACAGAAATTATTAACTTAGAAATACCACCATTTTCTCAAGAATTTTCTAATGACTTTAATAAGAATAAATCTCTTGATATTCTTCAAAATGAGTCATTGGTTATTATTCGTTTATTTATTCATTTTGTATTATCTTCAGATGACTACTTTCAATGTTTCATTCCATTTATATCAATTTTAATAGGAAATATTTTTCCTTCCTTAATTCCATTAATTTCTATTACTGAAAGAGAGGTATTTAATGACTCATTTGTATTAACACAAACAAACCCTCTATTAATTAAATTATTTCTGTCTTTCTTTTTAATTAATTCAACTAGATTTGCTTATTTAGCTAAAGTAGATGATTTTTGTCATATATTTATTGGAATAGTTAATATTGTCTTACAACTGTCTTGGAATTTTAAAGAATGCCATGATATTCTTAGACCATCACTTCAGTGGTACTTTAGCATATTATTCTGGAGAGATATTAAAACATTAAAATCTACTTTTAAACAATCTACATTAGAATTTATTCAACAATCTTTTATAACAAAAATTCAGGAATTTATTGAATCAAATATATCTTATTTTGGTGCTGATGAAACAGCAAAAACAATAAATAATGATATTATACAATTAATAGCAATTGTTTATCCTAAAGTATATGATAATTCACTAGTTATCCTTAATAGTTCAGAACATATTTTATTTAATTATTTAACTATATTAAATAAACAACAAGAAATGATTAAGAAATTTCAAGCACAAACAACGAGACAATTAGTTATGTGTATTATTATTTTATATATTAGATTTTATGATAATGTAATTGAAAGATGGGGTTTAGGTGAACAGTCGTTAATATATAGATTATCAGAGTTTTACAATATTAATGGAGTAATAGACACTTTAGCTGAAATGTATGGTCATGTTGTTTATTATATATTAACAAAATTATCAAAAATAAAACAAAAGAATAAAAACGTTATGATTATAAAATCTCTTCTCTCTTATAATTTCGCTTATCATTTACCTTCATTAACAATTAACTCATCACTTATTCAAGAACAATGTTCAAATTCATCTATAATAATTTGTTATCAATCATCTTTATTAAAACCATACACAGAACATTGGGAAGAAAAAGAATTAAAATACTATTTTTCTTTATTAACTCAAACTTTCTCAATTTATGGATTGAATGGCTCTGTTAAATATTATCGAAATGTAAATACTATGTTGTATCAAGTGTGTTTAATTTTTTTTCAAGCAACAAAAGAAATACAACACAAATTTGATTTAGTTGAACTTTTCTTTGACCATATATTTAATTTACAATTCTCTCAAGACTTATTCATTTCTCGACTTTGTATTCCTCCAATAATCCATTTCTTTCATTTATTAAACAACACACCAGAACTAATTTTATGTCTTGCATCTATGATTTCTGATAGTTCTATTGAATCGTTTTTATTGATAGTTGATAACATTCTTCCTTTCTACTTTTGTCAACAATATGGAATAGTTCAACTTATTTGGAATACATTTGACAAGTTGATATTGTTATTTAACAATGAAATAAACAAAATAACAACATATCTTAGTCATCCATCAGAAAAGGAAGAGGTAAGTACTACCGTTTCAAATAAAGAAATTTGCAATTTCCTTTCACCTCATTTTGATTCTCATCTCACTGACTTGCTTCACTTTCTTTTTAGCTTACTTCAAAGTTTAGACTTTTGTTTAAATGAAATACAAATTAAAAAGATACAAGAATGTTATATTCTAGCTTCAAAATTACCTGTATCACTTTGTAATCATAAAGAAGTAATGTGGTCATGTTGTATGACTTTTATTATGATAGAAAATCAACTTAACTTAAATGAAGTAAACGATGACATCATTATAAAACAACAAGAAGATTTATTTAATTGTTTATTAAATGATTGTACTAAGGAAAATGATGAATACACTGACAATATAATACTCATTGTTGAAATAATTGCAAAAGAGAGTTTTAAATTTACTAATAGAATAATCGATTATATCATATCTTCTTTATTGGACAAATGTAATTTTGATAAATCACTCAAAGTTCAAATAGTATCGATTCTTATGATTCAAAAGATTCTATTTTTTAATTCTAAGGCTTTAACTTCAATTTCAAATAAAACAATGAGCCGATTATTTAATACTATAACATTAAATTATGAAAATATTCCTTTTCTTAAAAATGAAAACTTACAATTAGGATATGCCTATGATATTGTTTTTTGTACATTCACGCAATATGATTGTGGAAAAGTCGATATTAATTTCTTAAAATCATTAAAGGCTATTACTCATATTGTAAAAATACACCAAATTATTTCGTTATATCAAAACTCAGACAAATCAATATTTTTGGTTATTCGTAATGTTTTTGGAATTAATATTTTTGAAGTCCATCAAGTTGTTTTACCAAATAATACAATTGATATTGGTGATAAACATAAAAACATTTCATTAATAAGTTATGAAGAAAAAGATATTTTAAAAGATACTTTTGAAGAAACAAACACTGAAATACCAACTAGTTTTGATAATGACATTGAAAATGATTTACTAGAATATTCGTTGAATGACTATTTTAAAACAGAGTATAATCTCTTTCAAAACACAGAAGAATGCTCTGACTTTAAAGAAAAGAAAATAATGGACTTGTTAAATGAAATAAAAAATATTACTAATTTGGATAATTCTATTATCAATCAACATCAAAATGAAAGTAGTAAAATAGAAAAAGGATATAATTTATCACAACAGGCTTTTGTTATTCTTAATGATTTATTTAATTTAAATAATACTCTAATTTATAACCTAGATATTAATAAATACCAAATGCTTATTGATCAACTGGATTCTATTTCTTTAAATAAATGCTATTGTGTTGGTGTTGTTTATATTTCTGATGAAACTTTGACAATAAACAAACTTATTCAATTAAAAACAGAACCAAATTCTAGTTATTTTAGTTTTATAAATCTTCTTGGAAAAAGTAAAGGTAATGAAGTTATTGAATATAAAAGTCAATACCAAACTATACATTACTTAGATTATTATCAAATTTTGAAAACTCAAACAACAAACATTGATGAAGTGTTATACAATAATGTTCTTATTGTATTTACAACGTTCACAGGATATAAGCCAACACATCTTCTAAATTCTAAAATTAAAATAGTTTTTGTAGTCTGTTTAATAAATAACATTTATCATATTTCAATATGGCAATATAAAAAATTAGGAATTGGAGTTATTCAAAATAATAGTGTTTTATCTCCTTGTAATGTTAAGTCATTTTTCTCTTATTCTATTCTCTCTATTAATTCATATCTTTCTGATTCAGAAAACTTATTAATGGAAAGAGAATCAATACTCAATAAAATACTTTGTGTTTCTTCAAAACTCGATGTTGGACTTAATTCTCAAAAGTAAATAATATTATGTCATAAAAAAATGAAAGTAGTAAATATCATAATATTTTAAGCAACCTACTTCTTCTTTTACTAGCCATTACCAAAGTTATTAAGATAAAAAATGTTTTTGTTTTTAAATTCTCATTGCTCTTCTCTTATAGTATTAATTCTATTTTTGCCAACCCCAACGTAATGGTATTCTTATTATAAAAAGATCAAAGTTAAT